GATCTTTTATGAAATATCGAAGCTAGAAATTGTTTGCTAGGACGGTCTAGCCTACGTGTGAGACCCCGCTAAATGGGCCAAGTTGGGCCGGTCTGATGGCCTAGGTCGAATGGCCGAGCTACTGCAGCTTGGGGGTGCTGGTACTGTGGCAGCAGGATACTGTAGCTACGAGACTTTAGTCCCATACCGGAACCTGAGGGGAAACTGAACCAACTTAAAAGCCTGAGCCTGGGAGGGAATTAACTCCAGTTCGAACCTTTTGCGCGAAGCGAAGACGAAAGCGTAAGAGAGTTAATTAGCAGGTGTGCTCCATTCAACGTGTAGAGTGGATCTTAGCCGTCTTTCCGGGCTGGGGCGTTTACAAATGGTATTTAGAGCCAACTCTCGCGGTTTCACAGACATATGGCTCGGGAGCTCGGACAGGTTGCGCATGGCTCTGCAAGAGCATGGCACTTAGGGCGGGGAGCTGGAAATATGGACGTGGCCAAGAGAGTCAATCATGGACATTTGTCCCGTTTGGGTAGGTTGGTTGGACCCACGACGAGGACGTCGAGTCCTTAAGGGTGGGTGTATGTGAGACCCCGCTAAATGGGTCAAGTTGGGCCGGCCTGATGGGCTGGGCCGAACGGCCGAGCTACTGTAGCTCATGTTGCTGGTGCTGTAGCAGCGGGACGTATCGTACCGGAACCTGAGGGGAAACTGAACCAACTTAAAAGCCTAAGTCTGGGATGGAATTAACTCCGGTTCGAACTTTTTTTGCGCGAAGCGAGGACGAAAGCGCAAGAGAGTTAATTAGCAGGTGTGGTCCATTCAACGTGTAAAGTGGATCTTAGCCGTCTTCCCGGGCTGGGGCGTTTACACTACGGTTGTAAGACCTCTTAGGGCGCTCGTTAGAAGCGCGTCATACATTTATACGGTTAAACTCTTCTTCTTAATTACAATAAGGCGCAAAATCTTTTGCGTATTCGAGAAAAAAAATCCTTGAAAAAACCCATTTTGAGGTGCATGTGGATTTAGTTTGAATCTGAAATAAAAATGAAAACACATAGCTCTTGTTTGTATTTGAGGTATGACAATAGGATGCTGCTTGCTGACTGTATAGAGTGTCATTCCCATTATCACAGATACCATTCTCACGTGGCACAACTACACAAGTACGATGCCTGATGATGGAAAGGCTGAGCATGTTGCTGCTTCAGAGTTTGTTCAGGAAGAGGTTATCTAACTGCCCTTAGAAGTTGTGGAGAAATTACAGGGAGATGGATTATGGGATTGTCACAGTCAGAGACCCTAGAGACTGTTAAAATCTGGTTCACAAGCCGGTCTGTTTGGATCGTGAATCATAATCAAGCACCACTTGGTTTTCTGCCACTTGCTAGCACCATTCTTCTTGTTGTCCCGAGACACTGCAGTACTCGTACAGCTATCAAATGGCCAAATGGGGTGAAGTTAAGATCTCGAGAGGGAGTTTATAAAGTATTTCCCAGTTAAGTTCAGTCAACTAGAGTTTGGCATAGGGTCTTGGAGACAGACCATCCTAATTTACCACACTTTAGTGGATCCGCTTCACAGTTCACTGCAGTGCTGACCGGTACAGTTTGGGCGCCAGAATATTTGGCAGGGACCCCCAAAGTCCTTGGCCTCTGAAAAACAGGTGGGCTGACAGAGTGCAGCAGGGTCTGCAACATGTTTGCGAGGATGTTTGTGGGAGGCCCCCACATGCCGATGATTGCCCACATCATGTGCATGTCAAGTTCTGAACAGGGAAGGTAAGGAGATAAGGCACCGGTTGATCAGTGGACAGTGGTGCATGTGTCATGTGTGCGATGGAGCCTTGTTTGTGGACTGGCTTAGCTGCCTTATGTGGGCTGTCCAACCACTGAATGTCCTATCCATTTCGGCAGTAATCAGTACTACTGCAGATCAGCACCTAACAAGTATTACTGTAATAGCAAACAAATCGGCCTGATTATGCAATGTCACCGTTGTTCACTTCCGTTTACTGCTCTGATCTCAACTCTTTCGTTGTGCTCCGTACGTACTATAACAGTGTATGACTATAAGCCAAGATCAGTGGTCGAGGAAGGCTGTGGCCGACCAGTTAAGCTTTGTCAGTGCAAGAACAGGGGGTGTGAAGTGTGAAGTGTGAAGTGAAAGTGAAAGGAGGCTGTGCTGTGGTCATCTGACGATTTCATTTCTGTGCGGTCTGTGTCGTGGTTCTCCTGCTGCTGAGTGTAAGGAGCATGGCCATTTGCCTGCCTGCCACATGGTCGATGCCATTATTGCTTGCCCGCCTGCTCATGCAGCATGGCGCGGGATTGGATCTGAAGGCCCAGCTTTGTCCCGTGGAAAGCGAGTCAAATTGGCACTTTTCCTGGACATGGATGCAGCAGACGCGGATGCCTCGCTTTTATTGAGGTGCCCCCCTCCCCCCCACCCCCCTGCGGAAAGAAAGAACCCATCATGTCGACTCCTTCCTTGTTCTCGCAGTCCGTTCCGTTTGGCTGCGGATCGACGCTCCATCCTACATTCCCACTACTCCTAGCTTTGTACGACTCCAGCCGTGTCGATGTATACCAATACTCCGTATTTTGTGATCATATTCTGCACAAATCTGGGTGCATGCTGACTGCTGAGTGCCGCGCGACATGTGCACGGATGCACTCAGGGAAGCGAGTGCCTCCCGGCTTTAGTGATCGGATCTCCCATGCGGCGCCAGTGCGCCTGCAATGCAACGCAACACGACGACTTTCAGGCACTGCACTGCATTCGCCGTGTCCTGTAGCCCCAGCCTTTTTTTTACCCGCTTTCACTTCGTTTTTAAATAAGGGCTAAAGTCTAGGAGTGTTATATCGGGTCTATACGAGAGTGTTCGTATAGTAATAATAAAATAAATTATAGAAGTCCTCAGAAATCCGCGAGACGAATTTATTAAGCCTAATTAATCCATCATTAGCACAATGTTTACTGTAGCACCACATTATCAAATCATAGACTAATTAGGCTTAAAAATTCATCTTATAAAGTAGTCGAAATTTGTATAATTAGTTATTTTTTAGTTTATATTTAATACTCTACATGTGTCACACATACGATGTGGTAGGGACTAAGGGCGGGTTTAGTTCTCAAAAATTTTCACCCCAAACTATCGTATCGAATCTTACGGCACATGCATGGAGTATTAAATATAGACGAAAAAAAAACTAATTGCACAGTTTGGTTGGAAATCGCGAGACGAATGTTTTAAGACTAATTAGTGTATGATTAGCCATAAAGTGCTACAGTAACTAACATGCGCTGATGATGGATTAATTAGGCTTAATAAATTCGTCTCGCAGTTTCCAGACAAGCTGTGTAATTAGTTTTTTTTATTAGTATCCAAAAACCCCTTCCAACATCTCCAAAATATCCGATGTAACGTAAAAATTTTCATTTCACGAACTGAACACAGCCTAGGCTTAGCAGGCCCCGGTTTGTTTCAGTACCGATGCAAATGCTCCCTGCGGTGGCCAAGAGATAGAGAGATAAAAGTTTTAAAAAAAGAGAGATAGAGTGACGTCACCTGTCGAAAAAACCTTTGCATATGCTGGAATTCGATGCGCCCATTGAATTCCTCGATCAATAAATAAAATTTATCTATATTTATTTACTACTACGATTGCTATTGGTCGGCCATTAATACGCGCACCTGTATTCTCGTATTCTTTCTCCGTACGGCGGGCGGGGCGGCCCACTGAACAAGCGCGAGCAGACATTGCGCATTGCGGAAGGCCAAGGGCGGACGTCTCGCGTGTTGCCTCATCTCCAGGGCTCCTCCTCTCTGCAGGTGTGCCATCCATCCATATATAAACTGGGCGCGGCCGTGGTCCTCAGTCCTGTCTCTCTCTCTCGTGCCTCGCTCGTCTCAGATGGGGAGCCAGAGCCAGCATCATCTGCTGGCTTCTTCCCACTGAAGGCGTGGCGAGCGTGAGCGCGACACCGCGTCGTGACTCCGGACTCCCCCATACCAGCGTCGCTCTCGCTCCCGCCCTCGCCGTGTCCTCAGGCTGTCCAGCTAGCGCCGCGAGGGGCGAGAGCGCTCTTGGATCCCCCCAGAGCCCAGACAACAGGTACTCCATGGATTTCGGCCTCTTCCTGTCCTCCCTCTCCCTCCCCGGTGGCGATCTCTTCACCTTTCGTCGTGGCTTTCCAGCAGTTCCATCCATCACCTCCCCCCGGACGGCCTTGCTGCCTGACTGTTTTCCTCTCGTTTCGGAGAACGAGCAGCAGCAGCCTACTTAGATTCGGCACAAGTTCCCGTCACGTTTGGATTTGATCGCTCGTTTTTTTATTCGAGTCCTCTTATCACTGGCGTCTGACGAGGGCAATAGCTAGCTAGCGATCCTGAATCCAGTGCAGCCCTCTTCATCTTTTTGGGCCTTGTTTAGATCATTTCCAAATTCCAAAGTTTTTTCACTCTCTCTCTATTATATTAATTTTTGGACGCATGTATAGAGCATTAAATATAGATAAAAAAAATAATTAATTACATAGCTCGGTTGTAAATTACGAGATGGATTTTTAAGCCTAGTTAATCTATGATCGAACAAAGTTTATCAAATACAAACGAAACGTGCTACAGTGTTAAATGTCCAGGTTGTAAAAATTTGCAATTTAAACGAGGCCTTGTTTTGTTTTGTTTAAGTACAAAGAACAGAAATCCCTTTTGGGTTTCTTGGTTTGCGCGGACGCGGACAGTGGATTGCGTCTCCGGCGAAGTGCCGTCCCGTCCTGCCACCGCCACACTTCCAGTCCATATTTCCGTGGATCTTGCGACTCAGACGTGTGGTGTGAACCACCACCTGTTGATTCCCTGTTTTTTTTTTTTGTTCTTTTCCCTCTGCATTTCAGGCAATGCGGATGAAGCTGTGTTTTTATTTGATTCAGATATTCGTCGCTCCGTGCAGCCTAGAGAGAGTGTAGTGCAGCCGCTCTCGGTTTTCGCTCGCTCGGTCGGCGACATGGACAAGGAGAAGAGGAGGAGGAGGAGCTGGTTCGAGCGCATCAGGCGGCTCTTCACCTCCTCTGACCCCAAGCCCACGCCCAAGCCAGCAGACAAGGTTCGACCACTCCTCCTGTCGCGATCTCGTTAGCCTCTGCGACTTTTTATTGATTTTGTTTCTCGATCGCGAGCGGTATCCATGGCAATGGTGGATGAATCGGTTCTTGCTTTTGCGCAGAAGGCGAAGAGCAAGCGGTGGCTACCGGGTAAGCTGCGGGCGCAGCAGTCGTTCGCGCTCCCGCCGCCGGCGCCCGCGGGCGCGGACCAGATCAGGCAGGCGGAGGACGAGCAGAGCAAGCACGCCGTGGCCGTCGCCCTCGCCACCGCGGCGGCCGCCGAGGCCGCTGTCGCCGCCGCGCACGCCGCCGCCCACGTGGTCCGCCTCACCGGCCAGCCACCACCGGTGGCGCCCTTGCCCCGGCAGGTGCAGGAGCAGGAGCACGCCGCCGTCGCCATCCAGTCGGCTTACCGCGGATACCTGGTACGTCGTCAGTCGTCCAAAAGATGCAGATTCCGTCCAAAAATGCAGATTTTTTGTTCTTGCATTAATAAATTGATGCGTTTTTTTGTTAACTGTTTGCGAATGGGAGCATTTCGCCATCCTTTTGGGCAACATTCATGTCGCTGACTGAGTGACCCTGGTGACTCTGCCGGAAAACGCAGGCTCGGCGGGCGCTGCGGGCGCTCAAGGGCCTGGTGCGGCTGCAGGCGCTGATCCGCGGGCAGGCGGTGCGGCGGCAGACGGCGGCCACGCTGCGCGGCCTCGAGTCCCTCATGAGGATCCAGGCCCGGCTCCGGTCCAGGGCCGGCGGCGTCGACCAGCACCAGGCGGCGGACGACGACGCCCAGCTGCTGCGGCGCGGCAGGGAGCTCTTTGCCGCCGCCGCCGCCGTCCACGTAAGTCACTCTCGCCTTGCGGCACGGATGAACGGAACACGCGAAATGATTGGCGCCGCACATGCCCGGCATGTGGGTAAACTGATGGGTAAAAGCTGGCGGGCGGGCGAGGTGACTGCTGGCCGATCGATCACGCGCGCTGGCACATGCGCGTGTGGTGTCCGGTGATTCCATTCGTCGTTGGCGTTGGCGACGCGGGGGCCCCCCCGCCCTGTTTGTTTCGATGCGTCCGGAGTAGGTCCAGCAGTGCAGGTGCAGTGCTGCTGCTGCGTCTGCGTGATCGCGCCAGTCAGTCCTCGCTGCTACTGCCTACTGCTATGGTGGTGCTGGTGTGGTGTGGTGTGGTGTGGACCGCGCGGGTCTCGTGTAGTGTTGCCAGGTGATCCAGATGGACACGTAGGGTTTATCCAACAGTTCACCTGAGGTGGCACGGCGGCCTGCACGCCGGTGCTCTTTGCTCGGCAGGGGAAGAATGACTTTTGTGACTGACACTGACTAACCGACTGGCTGATGATTCGTCTGGTCCCGTGCAGGAGCAGGAGCAGCAGCAGGCGAGCAACAAGGGGTGGGACAGCAGCATCTTCTCCAAGGAAGAGATGAGCGCCATGACGAGGAGCAAGGAGGAGGCCGCGCTCAAGCGCGTGCGCGCGCTGCAGTACGCCTCCCTGCACAACGAGAAGCTGGGCCTCGGCCTCCGGCGGCCGCCCTCCGTTATGTCCACGGACGAGGTGGACACGCTGAACCAGCGCTGGAGCTGGCTGGAGGAGTGGGTCGGCTCGCAGCCCCCTTCGACAAGGACGTCCCCGTCGCGCACCAGTCCCCCTACACCAGCACCACCACCAGGGGGGAAGGCGCCGGCGCCGCCAACAAGGGCGACGACGTCGTCGACCGGCTCGGCTGCTCGGCCCGCCGGTCCTTCACCCGGCCGCGGCGCACGCCGGGGAGGGGGGACTGCTACTACGACGACGCGGCGGCGGCGGCGTGCTCGCCGGCGCCGGCGCCGTTCCCGGGGTACATGGCCTCCACCGCGTCCGCCAAGGCCAAGTTCAGGTCCATGAGCACGCCCAAGGAGCGCTCCGCCGCCGCCTACTCCGACGCATACTCCGAGCACTGCTTCCCGTTCGCCGACCGACTGCTCTCGCCGATCCCGTCCATGTCGCCCATCCCCTCCGTCGCCAGCGACATGGGCTTCGCCAGGTCCACAAGGCCGCCCGTCGCGCAGCGGTCGCCGCGGGTGGCGGCCAAGAGCCCCATGACGCCCGTGAGGTCTCGCTCGCGGAGGTCGCCTGGCCACCACAGCTTCGGCTCCGAGGCAGCGCTGCACCAGCTGCAGATGGAGCACTACACCCCAGTCCGCTGAACCTTGCCTTTCAAGTTGTGAAGCGATGCAACACCCGACAATGCCGTCCATCGGTGGTTCCTCCTTTGTGAAGATACAATTCTTTTGTTTGTTCAGCTTTCTTACCAGAAGGGTTCAAAGGTTGAGTCATTCGATGTAAGACAATGGAACTTGAATCGCAAATGTAGGTGATAATGCACCATGAATCCATGATGTAAGAACACATGGCATGGCGCAACAACAGCTACTGTTCTGGTTCTGGAAATGTTCCATCACCCTTTATCTTACAAGAAGTGTACAAGAATCTGTCTAGCTGCCGGTTGTTTTAGCCTCTCCCATCAACTAGATTTTTCTCATACACTTACACTATCTTATAGCTATATTTACACCGTCTTATTACTATATTTATAATAATTATTTCAGGCCTTCAGTATAATTTATTGGACAGAGTGATATAATTTGGGGATAATTGCATATTTCAAACAAATATATGCCAAAATTTTCAATTTTTTTTCTATGGATTTCAGATATCAGATAAATATATGTCAAATTGTTTTTCACAAATTTCATAAAAAAATACAAATTATGAACCATCTGTGAACGGGAGACGACGAACAAGACGAGCAGCAGCACGAACAAGTGGTCGCGCTCGTGCCGCCCTTGCGCGGGGCTTCTTGACCGGCGCCTCCGCCAGCAGCATCGTCGCCGCCGTCCATGCATGCTTCAGCTCTTCCGAGGCAGGGTACACGTACACCCGGATCTCGTGCGCCGCGCTCGGAGGAACACATAAGCCGGTTCCCGGCTGCCTGGGGCGCAGCCGCGCTGGGGTGCTCCGGCCCTTCCGCCACGGATCTCGGGCGCGGTGCCTGGAGGAGTCAGTGATGAGCCGGATCCGTCCGCCGGGGGCGGTGCTGTGCTGAGGTGATTTCCTGGGAAGGTGAGGAATCGGAGGAGAGGAGGATCCACGGCGCGCCTACGGCAGGGGAAGGAAATCTACGGTCCAAAAACCGGTTGCTGGGGCTCGGTGAAACATGCGGTTGTCCAATAGCAATCCTGTGCAAGAAAAGTTCCTTTTCAAACTGATCCTTACATGGATGCGATCTGCGTCCACAAGAAGATTTCAAACAAGGTTCGGAGATGTAAACTTCTGGTACATTTCACCATTTGTTTTACACAAGGAGTATGTGAGATGTAAACCGCTAGTACACCCAGTCGCATACTGCACTAAGCCTCAATACCACATCCGGGAGTTCTACATCCAAATTGCTACAAGCATTTTCAACAATGCAGCCAATGAAAAAAGTCTAAACATTCCCTTTGTCAATACAAGATGTGAAAACTCACATGAGAAGAACTTGTGCAAAGTGTAGGGTGTGTATGTCACTACTTGATCATGTAAAACTCTAGCATCTCTTCTTCCAAAGGATGAGTCTCTCCCACTATGATCAGGCAGTGAAGGGGTGGGCCAAAATCAACATCTAGTAGCTTCTCCATAGGCCCAGCAACGATCTTCTGATCATCACTTCCAAGTCGCGCCACTCCTATGCACAATGTATCCCTGCCATATGCTGGAAGAAAATGATCTTTAAATCTGATATCATAGTAAGACTAGATGGTTCATATATGAAGCACTTGAACAATGAAAAAAAAACTAGCGACATCTATAGTAGATCAAGATTCAAGAATTTTTTTTAAAAAAAATCCGAAGAAAGACTGTCCTAACTTCAATAAGCATAAGAAGCTATTGTTTGACACAAAATGATTTTTCAAAGAAAGGCAGCTCCTCAAAAGAAGTTCAGATAGTCTACCAGATCCTCCACGCGCTTCCTCCACCTCAAAAAGCTGACTTATTGCAGTGTTTACAGTCATGAATCTTGGTGGTTCATAGACTTTCTTTCCTCTGCATAAATATATAGGCAAAAGATGGATCTATCATCATCTATCCATTGTAAATATTAAGCACAGCTACTGAGAGCTGCTTGCATCAAACTGAACACTGAGCAGGTGCAAGTTGAGAGAGAAAAGGAATGTTAGTAACAGGACATTTTCAGTGTCAAACTACCAGATGTTGCAATTCTGCACTGCAAGGTATTGAGAATCAGAATTTAAAGACAGCAACGGATGCTAATTTACCTGGCTAAAGATTCCCATGTTGGCTCCTTAACACGGATATCTGCATCGAACAATACACTAAATCAGCTATCTTGATTATGATAGCAACGAACCAAGACCCTAGTAGGATTAGGAACATGGTACAACATGAAGAAAAACAACTTCTGCTATCCATGCTTTGGTTTAATGCATATCATTTAAAAGTGGAAATGAACATGATGAGAAAGATCTTGGCTTCAAATAACATAGATTAGGGACTGAACAAAACTATATCTTAACTCTGTGGCAGTCTAATAGTTTGAACATTCATTGTATTTGCTTGCAATAATCAGTGTCTAGTTAATGTCAGTATATCATGCACAATAGTTTAACTATAAGACACGTTACCTATGGCAATAAATTAATGATCACTTGCCTATTCCATGATAACGAAGAATATAGACAATGCTGAAAGGTCAAGCAAGAATCACGAACCAAGCAGGCAAAGTGTGTGCAGCCCAAGCTTGCGATTGTTCTGAATCTTCTCATAGAAACTATCTGGTCTCCATTCGTCTGTGAAGAATGGTATTGAGATAGTCTCTCCATAGCGGTAAAGTTGCAGCCCACAAACTCCAATTGCATTCATGACAGATGCATTGTGGATGACCTTCACCTCTACCCCCATTTTCTTGGCACGAACAACCAGATCAGTATGTGTAGTTGCCCTGGAAATCTCATCCAGAATCCAGATGATAAAAAGAGAATAAAATTCAACTCACAAAGCTAAAATACAACCCTGAGTTCCTCATGTTCATAGCCACCAACTCAACAACAGCACACTGAGTTCCGTCACGCGTACCCGGAACTTATGCCATCTACAGACACCTTCGCACAGCTAACTCAAAAACGGGAAAGAGGCTAAACAATCATTTACCCGAACGGGTCACCGACAACAAGGAAGGCGACGTCGGTGTCTGCAGCCTCGTTCAGCACCTGGTCCACGCGCTCCTCCACCATCTCCCGATCGGCGACCGTTATCTCCTTCCCGTACAGCTTCTCCTGGACGCGCAAAACACGAGAAAGCGAGGACGCCTGTGAGCAACAGCTCCGAACGAGCCACGTGAGCATTTGCTCGAACAGGTGGTGGGCGGACAAGAGAAGGGAGACGCACCAGGTTGGCGAGCGCGGCCGGGTCGAGGCCGAGGGAGAGGAGGGAGGTGTATGCCTCCATGTATACCTTGGAGCAGCTGCGGACGGCGTCGAGCCCCCGCACCGTGATGTCGCGCTCGTCGCCGAGGCCGAGGCCCACGATATACAGCATGGCGCCGGCGGCAGGCTGCGAAAGGACGGAGTGGCAGCCGAAGGGGGCAAAACTCGCCGTGTATTTGCAGGGCGTTGATCCCAAGAAATTGGGAGGAGAAGGCGTAAAGAACCGGCGAGCTAGGCACCCCAGCCGCCTGGGTTCGTCGCCGGCGCGTTTCCGCCGTCTCTCTGGTGGAGTCGGCGGCTCGCGTGCTTGGGGTGGGGTTTGTCTGCCTTGTCAGCGTCGCATGTTTTCTAGCCCTAAAGCCCCTAACGCATTCGAATTCCTGCCGTTGGGTTTAGATCCAACGGCTCACGGAAGGCTGGGAGGGGATATACATGCCACTCGGGCGGCCATCGAATTACTCTGACGAACTTTCCACAGTCCACTTCACCAGTCACCACCATGGATTTATCAAAAAAAAGAAGTCACTGCCATGGAGGAGAAGATTCAGACATACAGGAAGAAGTTCCAACTGAAGAAAATAGACTTCCAAGCATGAAGATAGATTGACAATTCTTGGTTGGAGAAATTCCCACAGTGAATCGAAACAGAGTAGTTTTTTTTTTTTGAACGAATCAAAGACCCTGCTTTTCTTGAAAGCCAATAGATCTTAGAGGTTTAGCTGGGGTTGTCAGCGATACAGTTCAAGCCAGAAACAAGGGGAAAAAAAACAATCCAAACTGAAAGATAAAAGATCCTGAACTAGATTTCTCCAATGTCACACACAGAAACACCAGAAGGCTTAAAATCATTCAACCATGTAAGAGCCTTGGCCACTGTCTTGTGAAACAGAGTAAGGCTGTATATCGCTACTTGATCATGTAAAATTCTAGCATCTTTTCTTCCTCTGGAGTAGTCTCCCCCACTATGACGAGGCAGTGAGGGGGTGGGCCAAAATCTGCATCGACGAGTTTCCCCATAGGGCCAGCAAGGATCTTCTCATCGTCACTTCCAAGGCCCACACCTATGCACAGTGAATCCACATCATATGCCGGCTCTGTAAGTAAATGCATATCAAACAGTGAGGCTAATGATCGAGGAAGGCAGGATTTAGAGCATTGTATGAAGAGCAAAAAACTAGCAATATATTTCTGTGTTATATTATAGGAAATATGTTCAATTCTATATGTGGCTATATGGTAGGCCATATTGCAAGTGTAATCCCATGTGTGACAGAGATGAAAACTTGAGAAAGCAAGTTCAGAGATTATACCTGGTTCTCCGCGCATTTACAACAGCTCCAGAAGCTGGCTTATTGCAGTGTTTACAGTCATGAATCTTGGTGGTTCATACACCCTTGTTCCTCTGAAACTAAACACGACTACAGTAAATAGAATGCCGAAACATATATTTGTCTAAACTATTAGAAAATAAAAGCACAGACAGCCAAATCTAGTTTCTTGTTATTATATAGATTGAGAAAGTCTTGGGGTAAATTGAGTGCAGTGCAGGCAGAATGTTGTTAGCGTGCAAGCTCAGAAGATACAGCATTTTAGCACTGCCAGGTAAATATGACCATAGACAACAAACTATGCCAGATTACCTGCATAAAGACTGAGACATCGGCTCCTTTGCATGAATATCTGCACTGAATAATGTGTCCAATCAGAGTTCTGTGTATTTACTTTTATTTTTAATAAAGATAACCACAATGAACCACGGACACAAAGTAGTATCGTGGAAGTTCATTGATAGTCAAAGTAAATGCAGCTTGTGGTTTCTAAGCTTTGGCTTAAAGCATATCAACAAGAGAGAGGGGAAGAACGAAAGATCCTTAAAGTACTGACAACTTAAACAAGAAGAATAAAAAAACAATGTACATTGATTCCGTAGCACTCTAACAGTTTGAACGATGATTGCATTTGCTCACAAGAATCAATTAGCCTGTTCGCTGATTGGTTTCTGTGCTGATAAGCCCGGTTGGTGTTGGTTCGTTGTGAGAGAAAAATACTGTACCATAACTGATAAGCCCTGGCTGAAACCAACTAAAGCGAAGAGGCTGAATAGTGAAATTTAAACTGTACACATGTGACCCATGGATGGATGTATAGAAATTCAAGTTCAATTGCCAATATTCTTATCAGCGCTGATACAATGTCAGAAAGGCCGAATCAAGCAGTTGTGATTGTGACCTGTCGGCGACCGTGATCTCCTTCCCATACAGCTTCTCCTGCAGGGAGAACGCCACGGGGAAGTGCGTGAGCGACGGCCTGTGGCAAGGCAGGCTTTTGAGCGAACAGGCGGTGGGCAGCCCTGATCGAAAACGCACGCACGAGACTGCCGAGCCTAGAAGGAGGGTCGGGGCCGAGGGTGAGGAGCGCGGTGTAGGCCTCCATGTAGACCCTGGCGCAGCGGCGGACGGCGTCGAGCCCCCGCACCGGTCCCGTTCGCGTCTCCTTAAACTCGGCTTGATTCATTTATTTTTTTTATCCGAAACAGTATTTTTCTCTCACAAATTTCTCCAGCATTCCTCCAATCCATCCAGATTACTTCGAAATTCAGACAAGCGAACCGGCCCACCCGTGACGCCGCGCTCGTCGCCGAGGCCGAGGCCGACGATGTGCTGGCGAGCTCGCTACTCCCCGCGCTAGGTGGGAACGCAGGTGGCAGTTTCAATTTCCACGGCTGCTCTCCGCCAGCTTGCAGCAGCATTACAGTACTGGTACACGAAAATCGTGGTTGAAAAACTACGATGGCGCCTGGACTGTGATACAGAAAAATATATTGAGGCTTGGTCTCCACACGGTCGGCGCTTCGTCTAGTTTCCACCATCTTCTCTCTTCTTTCCCTTCCAGGAACAAGGATAACCGAATTTAAATAATTCGGCACAAATTTCTGACTGATTTTTACATATTTGAAAAGGGAAATATATATTGAAATGAAAAATCCAAGTATGAATGCATTCCAAGAAAAAAATCAAATCTGAAAGTGGATAAGGATAATGAGCATTTTACTTTCCAACAAAATTAACACTTTTGGGAGGTAATCTTCATATCTGAATGCTCATTTTATGTACACAAACCAAACATTCTTTTCCGCAAGTGGCCTGAATCTCTGTACATGATCGCTACCGTTCAATGACTATTGGATTATGCTGTCTGTATGGAAGAAAGTTCGTTTGGCTAGGCTTGTTCGTTCCTGGATCGTGAAGAAGTACTGCTGGCTGATTTGGTGTGAAAGAAAAATACTGTTCCGGCTGGAAATTTACGATCGTTTACGAGGGAATAATCCCAGCCGAACAGGCTGTTACATTACATTATGATGTACATTTACGTCGCTACCCTTCGCAGAATGCCCCTAGTCTGATGGAACAGATCTGAATAGCTCCTCCCATTTCTCTGGGTCAGTCCCGGGTCCTTCACCCTGAATTTATAGTGTCCATATCAGTAGCATATATACATATTTCACTTATATAACCAGAAAATAAGCAAAAATGCACGTCTAAGGAGTTCCATCTTGATATTATGCAACTCTAGCTGGTGTCAGCGCACACATTTATGCCATAAGTTACAATAATGCATGCAATGACAAGATGCGAAGCATCACGTATCTATTTTAATTTGAAGGAAAGCAAAATTTAAAGTTTCAAAAGGAAGAATGCAGGTAACGATTAAAAAAACACCATGCCATAAGCCCGAGAGCTAAGCGGTTTGGTACCAGGGCTTGTGATTAAGCCACAGGCTGAACACTTTAGCTGCCTAAAAAGCTACACTCTAGGGTCAGACCCCAAGCAGTGATGCCACAAAGATATCTCCTCTCTAGCTCGTGGTATGGTGCTGCAAAAAGGCTGGATAAAAGACATTGCAGAAGGCTTCAACAGCCTGGTCCAATTGATTGCTTGGGAGTTGTGTAAGCACCAGAAGATTGTGCCTTCAATAATCCAATGCTGTATCTCCAGAGTCCGAAACCAAAAAAAAAGTGTTGCAAGACGTGCTTAATGAAAGATCACTGGTGTACAGCAGGCAGCAGGGGCAAGGGATGAAGGGAACTACAGTCGTTTCTGCTGCCAGAATAGGTTTTAGGTTGTTGGGACTTCGTCTTTCTCAGTTGGTTAGTGGCGCAAGTTGTAATCATAAGGCAGTTAGGGCCTATATGCTAACAACTTCTTTCCTCTATTAATTAAATGATACACAACTCTCTTGTGTGTTCGAGAAAATAAAAAGAGATTGTGAATTTTCAGGGATCTAATCACATTATATCTTGATTGAGCCCTGATGATAATTAGCTAATTGCCAATAACTAACTGTACCCGTTCTAGAAGAAAAAAAATGAGTACCTTCACTGAATTAATCTCATATATTTGTCCTTCAGTGGATTGAATGTCTAAAGCTTGGATACAAGCTTCTGCCACCACAAGTCTGCTAACTTCCCCCACAAGCTTGTCACCTAGTAGGATATGAGGAAGTGTTAGAAGAAGCAAAGATCTTATCAAAACAAAAGGTTCATCATAAAATGCAGGTGAACAAAAGAAATAACCTTTGCCTATGACTACTGCCCGTCGCTCTCCAGCTGTAGCTTTAAGAAGTGTGTTAAGATCATACGAAGTGTAGGGCCCATCTGTCAATCTTCCAGGCCTGCAAACAGCTTGTACCATGTCAGAATAATATATCCACGATGTGCCCGCTCAAACACTTTTCTGTAAACAAACCTGAATACCTGATAATGGTGAATGGTATCCCTGAATTGCGGACAAAGTCTTCTCCCATCTTCTTGTACTTGAGCACACCAAAGAGATTCATGATGCTGAAAAATACATAGAATGATTGCTCAAGGACCAAGGTTAAACTTATGGTAACATAAAACTCAGTGGTAAATACAAATACCAGGGTGAAAGGCAAGGATACTGCCTGACAGGAAGTTAATTGTTAAATTAGCTAATATAAGCTGTTTATAAAACTAGGATTTACACGTAAAACATGTCTTGCATATTGTTTTAAAAGGGTAACCTTTAGCATTACTATCATACTATGATGTCATGAAGTTCAACTGCAAATACCGAAATTCCTCTTCAGAATCATAAGGTATATACCTCCATGGTGTCTCATTGTATTTTGTAACACCAACGGATGACACAAGAACCAATCTCTTTATTGTCTGTGGCAAGGCACTTACAAGATTTCTGATGCCATCCCAATCTGTCACAAAAATATGTGTGTGATCAGTGAACTAAGACACTGTCTCACCCATAACTGTCATTGTTGGCTTGTACATGTGATAAACATGGATAGCTATAGTCACCGATATGCATGGACTTAAATGACAAAGCATACAGGTGTGCATGATTTGACCAGAAGAATGTACATAATGAACACATAAATGGATGTTTAGAGCTCAAACCAATAAATAACCCATTAGGCCTCTGTCGCAGCTAAATTTCAGCCTTTTATTTGGTACATTCTGGAATTTAAAGGTCCTATGCTCCATCAAGATTATCCTTGCCCAAAAAAGCGTGTGTCTGGATTATTTAAATAAGGGAATTTGAAGGGCATGTTCTTCTTTAACATTCACTGATACCTTGGGTGAAAGTTTAACTTCAACTGTAGAATATCAGGCAGTACATACCTACACGTTCTGGAGTATTATCTCCATCCCAGCGTTTAGATGGAAATGCTGTAGTTCCAGTACAACATATCACATGTGTAACTCCCTAGAAAAGAGACCCCTATATTTTGATTTATTCAATCATTGCAGAAATAGATAGCCCATAGATAGATAAACTGTATGAATTCAGAGAAACGGAAGGGACCAACCTCAAACATTTGTGGATCCAAATCATTAGGGTTTCTTGTGTCCGCTTTGTAAACCTGACATGAAAGATAAACTCAAATAAGCAGGAGTCACTACAAGTGTATTTTCTTGGAGAAAACTGGGGTGGAGGGATGGAATGCTGAATATCCAGATGTACCTGCAGTACACTCTCATCCTGCTTGCCAAATAGGGACGATGCCTTTTCTGGATCTCTTAGGAGCAACCTTGACTTGATGTTCCTGCTCAGCAACGATGCTACAACCAACTGCCCTGAAAGGATGTACTCACAACTCAGTCAATATCTTGCCAACTGATCTAGTAAGCAAAGCTAAGAAGTGCTGCTGCAGGACACAGCAACACAAGTTGGAGAAAACGGTAAGATTGCAAATTTGCAATGCAACACAAACATGTTGTCCTTCGTCCTCCAACGTTTAATAGTATCTCGCATGTTTCAAACACAGTAATTGACATTAAGTTATTGTCAAACTCAGAGACAAATGAGCTCTGCAGTTTTACTGTCTAGGAGCTGAAATTCGCCACGAAATCTTAATTCTGATAGGGAAAATGTGTCACGAACAGGCCTCCGGCTATACTTGAGTTGGGCTGCACTAGCTGTACCGCCCTGTAAGTCGGCCTCATGAGCCGCATGGGTGTTTCTACTAGGCTTGGCCCATTTCTTTCATTGCTTTGACATTAAACTCGCTGTGTGGGAGGATGGGTGGACAGCGAATAAGAAAAACCTAATTTCCGAACCCTCTTTCTCCTTCCGTTGCCTGCTCGAGGCGGCGCGCCATCGCCGTGCTTCCCAGCCGCAGCGCAGCACGCCAATCAATCTTCCCCTATCTGGTTAGGGTCATCACATTTGGTACCAGAGCCTTCCGATCCATCGCTAATACTGATTCGTAAATCCCATCACCGACGGTTGAATCCAGAGAAGCCGCGCGGTCATACACCAAATCCTCCATCTCCACCGCCAGATCCGTCCTCGCCGCCGTTCAACTCGTCCACCACCTCCTTCCCCTACCTCCACTGTTGCCGATTCCACTGCGCCAGCAACTTTTCCACCCCCAATCATTTCGCCACCACCGCTCCTGATCGATCTCCCAGTCGATCCACCACCACCTCCATCCCACCTCCCAGTCGATCCGCCACCCCCTCTATCTCAGCTACCTCACTCCCTGGCGCGCAAACCCAAACCACCAACCCTCACCTCCCGAATGGCAACCGTAGAAAGCTCGACGCACTCAGCGCGCAGATGAAGTCCAAGCTCCTGCTCATGGAGTCCTTCAATCGTTGGCGTCCTGAGGTCGACCACTCATCCACTGAGCTAACCATGGAGATCAAGACTCTCACGTCGCGCGTGGAGGCGTTGGAAGCGAATACCGCTCCGCCATCAGCCCCGAAGCGCGAGGAAGAGGGGCGGGCCATGAAACCCACAACAAGAACATCACCACAGGGGAATGATGGGGGGACTCTGGTCCTCACTCATCCCCTGGCCAATGGTCAGTCCTCCACCCCCAATTTCCCATTTCATTATCATACTGCGCCTACCAACAATGAATGTCGCTTGCCTAAGGCCTAGTTTCCCAAATTTGATGGGTCTCATCCAAAAGTCTGGAAAGAAAAAGCAGAAAAATACTTTGACATGTTCAATGTTCCAGTGCATCGCTGGGCTCAGTATGGCACCCTTCATTTCAAAGGGCATGCTGCTTTATGGTTACAAACTTATGAAGCACAACATGGGGTGGATAACTAGGTTGAACTCTGTATTGCTATTGAGTCTAAATTTGGGAAAGCAACTCTATGCTGGAATTACTGAGCATTAAGCAAACCTGTGATGTTCAGGACTATTATGATAGATTTCAAACTGTCATGCATAAAGTGCTGGTGCATAACAATCAATTAGATGATGTTTTCTTTGTTAGCAAATTTCTTCAGGGGTTGCATCCTAACATCAGAGCTGCTATTGTTTTACATAAGCCGAGAACAGTTGATGTGGCTTTGTCACTGGCTCTTATGCAGGCTGATGTGTTGGAGTCTCAACCCAAGTATTTTGGCAAGCGCCATTATCGCGACTACAGCAAGTATCAAGGCAAGCCACCTCAAGCAGCAGCACCTGGTATTCTGGGCGCCCCTCCAGCTGAAGAGGCTAAACCCAAGTGGGAAGACAAATGGACCACACTCAGAGCTCAGCGCCGTGCCCAGGGTTTATGCATGAAGTGTGGTGAGAAATGGGGCACGAATCATAAATGCCCAGAGAAAGTGTCCCTACATATCTTAGAAGAAGTCATGGAACTTTTTCCAGAAGCCATCAAATCTGAGCCAACCTCTAATGAATCCAGCGACGACGAGGTATTTTCCTTGTCTCAAGCTGCAACAGTGGGTGTGCAAGGCAGGAAAACCATCAAAATCACTGGGTTGGTCAATAGTCAAGAAATTCTTATTCTGATTGACTCGGGCAGTTCCAGCTCTTTCCTCAGTGAGAAGCCTGCTGACACCTTAAAGTGTGTTCTTACATCAGCTCCTCCTGTCTCTGTCACAGCGGCCAATGGTGAAAAGCTTCTGAGTCAGCAGCAGGTCCTCAACTTCACTTGGTGGACTCAGGGTCATACCTTTTCCACCAATGTCAGAATTCTTCCATTACCTTACTATGACATGGTGTTAGGTATGGATTGGCCGGAGAGATTTAGTCCCATGTGGATCTACTGGAAGAGAAAATTGTTGCGGTTCACTCATGCTGGGCAGAGAATTAGTCTAAAAGGAGTCAAGGACAAACTGTCTACCTGTCACAAGCTAAAGGCAAGGAAACTTAAGGGTTTGCTCAGAAAAGGGGGAGTGGCTCAAATGATTCATCTATGTCAAACCCAACCCAACCCACCCACTGAAACCATTCCAGCACCCATCCAGACTCTGGTTGACAGCCATGCCCACCTTTTCAAAGAACCTGATTCCCTTCCACCAACAAGAGCATTTGATCACCATATCCCATTGATTCCAGGTGTCAAACCTGTCAACATTAAGCCTTATAGATATTCACCTACCTAGAAAGACGAAATTGAGCGCCAAATCCAGGAAATGCTAACCAATGGAATTATCAAGCCCAGCCATAGCCTATTTGCCTCCCCAGTTCTTTTGGTGAAGAAAAAAGATGGCAGCTAGTGTTTCTGTGTGGATTACAGACAGTTGAACAACATCACTGTCAAGAACAAGTACCCCCTTCCAGTTGTTGACGAACTCTTGGATGAACTCAATGGAGCCGCCTGGTTCACAAAACTGGATATGCGCTCTGGCTATCACCAAATCAGACTACAACCAGCTGATGAAGAGAAAACATCATTTAAAACCTATAGTGGGCGATGCCTTTCGGGCTCACCAACGCTCCTGCAACATTTCAAGCTCTAATGAACACCATTTTCAAGCCTCTGCTCCGCAAGTGTGTGCTGGTATTTGTGGATGACATCTTGATCTACAGTCCAACGCTCGACGCCCACTTGGACCATTTGCAAGAGGTTTTTAATATCCTTCAGCAGCACCAGTTCTTCCATAAGAGATCCAAGTGTTCATTTGCCCAACAGAATTTGGAGTATCTGGGACACATCATCAGTGCCCAAGGAGTGGCCACAGACCCCAAGAAAATTAAAGCGGTGGCCAATTGGCCCACTCCAACAAATCTCAAGCAGCTACAGGGCTTCCCCGGGTTATCCGGTTACTACCGCAAATTCATCAAGAATTATGGCTTGATCAGTAGGCCATTAACTGATCTCCTCAAGAAGGATGTTCTCTTTCACTGGACCCCCCAACTGCAAATGAGTTTTGAGGCTCTCAAGCAGGCTTTGATCTCAGCCCCTGTCCTGGTGTTACCAGATTTCAGCAAGCCATTCACAATTGAGACAGATGCTTCCTCCACAGGTGTGGGTGTTGTGCTTTCCCAGGACAACCACCCTGTGGCTTACATTAGCAAGGCATTTGGACCCAAAACTCAAGGACTATCAACATATGAAAAAGAATGCATGGTAGTAATCTTGGCAGTTACCAAATGGAAATCTTATCTGCAACACCAAGAGTTCACTATAGCCACTGATCATAAAAGTCTGATACATTTGGGAGAACAAAAGTTACAGGAAGGGATGCAGCATAAAGCCTTTCTCAAGCTTCTTGGGCTGCAGTACAAGATATTGTACAAGAAAGGGTTAGAAAACAAGGTTGCTGATTCCTTATCTCGGCAAGCTGAACCTGGCACAGTGGCAGCCATATCTACCAATACACCCAGATGGCTGGAGATCATAGTGGAAGGTTACACAAAAGATGATCAAACCAAGCAACTGCTCACAGAACTCAGCATTACTGGGTCAAATAATAAAGGTTTCTCACTATCTGATGGTCTCATCAAGTATAAAAACAGAATTTGGCTAGGCAATCACACAGAAGCACACCGGGCAGTGTTACTGGCACTCCATTCTAGTGGTCTGGGAGGACACAGTGGTATTACTGCCACTTATCACAAGGTTCGAGCCCTGTTTGCCTGGCCCAATTTGAAGCAGTCTGTCACTAACTACATCAACGCTTGCGAGGTATGTGCCCAGGCTAAACCTGAACATTGTCGTTTGCCGGGTTTATTGCAACCATTGCCTGTTCCCCAACACGCTTGGCACACTATCAGCCTTGACTTCATCGAAGGTCTACCCAAGTCCAAGCACTTTGACACCATCTTGGTCGTTGTCGACAAACTGACCAAACATGCCCACTTCATGTCTCAGCCATCCATACACTGCCCTTTCTGTTGCTCAAACCTTCATCTCCAACGTCTACAAATTGCACAGTATGCCCTCTGTTATCATCTCAGATAGAGATCGCATCTTCACCAGGGCCTTATGGCAAGAGCTCTTCAAACTTACCGACACTACACTTAACATGAGCTCGGCCTACCATCCACAGACCGACGGTCAAACGGAACGCTTAAACCAATACCTAGAAACCTATCTTCATTGTATGGTCCACTCCTGTCCTCACAAATGGGCTCAGTGGGTTCCTTTAGCCGAGTTTTGATATAATACCACATACCACTCTGCCCATGGTCATACTCCCTTTGAGGCTTTATACGGGTACCCACCCAAGCACTTCGGCATTACACTCACAGATGCTTGTTCAACTCCTGATTTGGAGGATTGGCTCCAGTCCCGTAATATGATGTTGCAGCATATCCAGCACAACCTGGCTCGAGCTCAGGAGTGCATGAAACATCAAGCTAACAAGAATCGTCAAGAAAGAACCTTTGCTGTGGGTGATTGGGTCTATGTCAAGCTGCAACCCTACATACAACAATCTGTTGCCCGTCGTACCAACCAAAAACTGAGTTACAAGTACTTCAGACCCTATTTGGTGCTCCAAACCGTGGGTAAAGTAGCTTACAAGCTTCAGTTACCTACCAATAGTCAAATTCATCCTGTTTTGCGTGTGTCACAGTTAAAGAAGGCTCTACCTCCGAACACCACCCTGTCGACCGATGACGAGCTGCAACTTCTCTACATGCTGGAAGGGCTTCCATCGTCCCAGGTATTGGATAAGCGTCTTCATCTGGTTGGTCGCCGGGTGGTGCCGGTTGCTTTGTTGCAGCGTGAATCATGTCCAGTGCATTGGGCTACCTGGGAGCGTGCCACTGCTATACCGGCGTCGCTGATTCAGTCCTCTGGTTCTGCATCGCGAGGGCACGCTGCAGCTTAAGGAGGGGGAGATGTCACGAACAGGCCTCCGGCTATACTTCGAGTTGGGCTGCACTAGCTGTACCGGCCTGTAAGTCGGCCTGCGAGCCGCATGGGTGTTTCTACTGGGCTTGGCCCATTTCTTTCGTTGTTTTGACATTAAACTCGCTGTGTGGGAGGATGGGTGGACAGCGAATAAGAAAAACCTAATTTCCGAATCCTCTTTCTCCTTCCATTGCCTGCTCGAGGCGGCGCCATCGCCGTGCTTCCCAGCCGCGCGTGCACGCCGGCAATCTTCCCCTGTCTGGTTAGGGTCGTCACAAAATGCTAAAGAATGCTAGAACGGAGAGCAGGGATATTGGTATCTCACCAACCCCGCCGGTTCCGCCAACGACCAGAACCAGCTTGGAGGACGCCTCGGCGGCACCAGCCCCGCCGGCCTCACCGGACTCTTCCGTCCGCGCCGGCTGCTCCTGCACGGACTGCGACTCTGCCGCCGCGGCGAGCCGCCGCGTGCCACGACCAGCTGCCGCGCCGCACGCGAGCAGACGGAGGGAGACCGCGGTCGGCGGGTGAGACTGAGACCGCAGCGCCGCTCGGAGGCGCCTACCCGGCGGCGAAGGAACGAGCGGCGAGAGCACGGGGTTGAAGCAACCCACCGCCATCGCGGAGCCAAGAGCAACGAGGGGTAGAGAAGACAGGGACTGGACGGACTGCTGGAGTGCTGGGACAGGAGAGTGCGCACGCGGCGGCGGCGAGACGAAGAAGAGATATCGGAAGGGAAGGCGAGGCGGGGCGGGGCCGGGGACGCGAGGCGGCGGCCACTTGGCGGCAGCCCGGCCAGGCGTCTGACGCCCGGTGGGGCCCCGTGCGGGTGAGTGGCCCGAGACGCGCGACGGAGCCGCGCACCTTCCGCTCGGAACTAGGCACCAATACTGGAATTCCTCGGCTAGCAAAATCGATCTGGAAATGCCTCCCCAAAGTTTTGCCAGAGCATCCTAATCAAACACGAAGATTTGGCCTTTGGTGATGAATACAACCTTCTAGTGATTCTCCAATCAAGGATGATTAGAGACGAGGCCCGCTCATAACCTGTCACAGTGATCCTGTTGTTCTCTTTCACTTCAACTGTCGGCCCTTCTTGCCAGAACTTGTGGAACAGCCTCTGGTCAAATCATATCCATGGCATTTTACAAGTATCATGCAACATGCATAATAAGACAATATCCTGCTTTGCCTACACTTGCACATTGATCAGGGTCGCATGCAGGTTAAGGCCCAGTGCTTCTGAAGAATCTGAACTTCATTTTCCCCCTTCAATGGAGCAGAATAAAGACCTTGGAAGACAACGAAACCATGGGATGCTCAAAGTGTACATCTATACGCCATGATCAGCACAGAACAGGATTTTTCTTAGGTTCAGCCTTAGCAGGCGAAGATCATTACAGTGGGAAAAATGAAATGAAGTATGAAACGAGCAAAAAACCAAACACTTTCTATTTCTTCTTCCCAGCTTTTCCTTCCTTCCTTCTGACAACTTCATCCATATATCTGATACCCTTCCCCTTGTATGGCTCAGGTGGCCTCCACTTCTTTATGGTGGCAGCAAACTGACCGATCGCGCTCTTGTCATAGCCGCTCACGATGATCCTCGTGTTCTCTTCCACCTTGACCGCCAGGCCTTCAGGAATGGCCATCCGAACAGGGTGGGAGAATCCCAGGTTCATCACGAGATCGTTGCCCTCCACCGCCGCACGATACCCGACGCCCACTAACTGAAGCTTCTTGTCGAATCCTTTGGACACACCAACGATGATGTTGTCTGTCAATGTTCTGCGTTGAATATTTGTACCAGGGTATTTAGAAGAAGACATGTAGGACAGGTGAGACAGGATAAAAAAAATCCATAGTCAGATTTCTCTAACCAAGCTATAATCGGAAAACATAAAAGATTATTCAGTAAAGAATAGAGAGATCATTGATCCTTTCCTTAACCAGAGAAAATGTACATACTGTGAGTCAAATAGCAAAGGATTAGCTGAAGCGCGAAGAAAAAAACATAGGTGTGACAGATAAAGAATATGGTAATTTTTTCACACCTTTATGGTCAACCCTTGGTTGTGCATAAAGTACTAGCATGTGTGTTCTCTTAACGGAGGTGGGTGCTTTTACCAAATAGTACCACGGTAAATCATAGCGGAAGTGATACAGACACTTGATGATGTTTGTTATAGATAAGACAGATTTTACAGTTCCTGGACATCAGAAGGGTGCAATATCATAGCCTATTTCCTTGGTACCTACCAATACCGGACAGAGAATGGTAAATGCAAGAAGATAGGCATTCATTTTGCAAATCTTTGTCAGTCCTACTAGAACTGTGGCTTTATTATTTCAATGCAGATTGATTGGTGGATTTTGTAGCAGAAAGTGTTGTTTCTCAGGTCTAGAACAAAAGCAAGGCCATCATATTTATTGGTCACTGGTGAGACAAGAGGTCAGAAGAAAATAAATACAGGAGCCAGAATAATGCTATCTAGAATCTGAATCCTTGTAGTTGTAAGAGACAGTAGGATCATAGGACAGTTTATCTACTCGCATATGAAAATAGCAAGTGTGATACAGCTTATTCAAGACACTGGTACTATCACAGTGAAATAACCATGGGAATCAATACTGCTCTTAACTGTACAAAGTGATAGCACAAATATAAGAGTTTTGACAAGAGCAGAGAGCACAGAAGTTGGCATCTAACTTTTGGAATATCAGGAGAAGATATATAAAACAAGGAATAAATCTAGTGAAACAATGAACCGCATTATTGACAAGTAAATCAGTAAAAAATAATATGGGCAAACTCATATTGTAGTTTCCAATTGATGTTTACCTGAAAAGTCCATGCATCTGGTTCGCCCTCTTGGTCTCTGCAGTCTTATAAACTCTCAGCTTACCAGATTCTTCTTTCACAATCTTCACGTCACCTGGAAAGCTGAGAGATAACTCCCCTAGCGGACCCTTAGCTTTGACAAACTGCTCTTCTAATGTCAGAGTAACGTTAGATGGAACTTCGATCGGCTGCTTTCCAATTCTAGATTCCTTGCATTCCACTACTGTTCTGACAAATCCAACTCTTCCAGCAGGGAGAACACGAGGACGAATCCCATGTGTCTTTTCAAGGAAGCCAGTTCTTGAATTGCTGGTTATTTCAGAGAAAGTAAGAGCTCCAATAAAATTTGCATATTGAGCTTTAGAAGAAAAAAACAAGCCTTCCTAATAATCAATAATGCATAAATTTGCTTCAAACGCTCTATTACATCAAAATGGATCTAAAACATGAATGAGCAGCACAACATTTGCTACTAACTAGAAAGATGGACCGATGGGGTATAAAGTCTAAACTTCCAAAGACAAAACAGCAAAAGCTACCAAATATCAAAACTGGTTACTAAATGGTGCCTTCACATTTTGAACCTTGTAGCTTCGAACTCAAGGATGCTTTCATGGTCATGAGGCTATACCGTAGAACATTGCTAAGAGGAGCAGCAACAGCAACAACAACATAGCATTTCAGTCCCAAGCAAGTTGGGGTAGGCTAGAGTTGAAACCTACCAAAAGCCCCAAGTCACGGTTCAGGCACTTCAATAGCTGCTTTCCAAGCACTCCTATTCAAATATAGATCTCTAGGTATATCCCAAGCTTTCAAATCGCTTTTTATTATCTCTCCTATGTCAATTTCGGTCTTCCTCTACCTCTCCTCATATTATTAGCTTGGCTTAAGACTCCACAATGTACTGGTGCCTCTGGAGGTCTCCTTTGGACATGCCGAACTCGGTCCATTCTTGTGTGACCATAAATCCATCGCAACATACGTATTTCTGCAACACTCAGTTGTTAAACATGTCGAATCTTTGTAGGCCAACATTCTGCTCCATACAACATAGCCGGTCTAATCGTCGTTCTATAAAACTTGCCTTTTAGCTTTTATGGTATCCTCTTGTCACAGAGAATGACAGAAGCTTGTCGCCACTTGATCCACCCTGTTTTGATTCTATGGCTAACGTCCGCATCAATATCTCCATCCCTCTGTAGCATCGATCCCAGATACCGAAAGGTATCCTTCTTAGGCACTACTTTGACCTTCCAAACTCACATCTCCCTCATCCTGTGCAGCTCCACCAAAGCCGCATCTCATGTATTGGGTTTTAGTTCTGCTCAATCTAAAACATTTAGACTCAAGGATCTGCCACCATAACTCTAGTTTCCTATTTACTCCCGCCTGTCTTTCATCCACTAACACTACATCATCAGCGAACAACATACACCAAGAGATATCCCCTTGTGTGTTTCTGGTAACATCATTCATTACCAAGCCAAAGAGATACGGGCTTAAGGCTGACCCTTGATGAAGTCCAATTTTAATCGGGAAGTAATCTGTATTACCATCGTTTGTTTGAACACTAGTCACAACATTATTGTACATGTCCTTGATGAGGGTCACGTACTTTGATGGGACTTTATATTTGTCCAAAGTCTACCACATAACATTTCTTGGTATCTTGTCATAAACCTTCTCTAAGTCAATGAAAACCATGTGGATGTCCTTCTTCTGCTCTCTAAACCGCTCCATAACTTGTCTTATTAAGAAGATTGCTTCTATGGTTGACCTTCCGGACATGAAACCAAATTGGTTTGTTGATATCTGCGTCGTTCCTCGCAGGCGCTGCTCGATGACTCTCTCCAACTTAATTCTCCGATAATTAGTACAACTTTGGATATCTCCCTTGTTCTTGTAGATTGGTACACTTACTGGTATTTGTCATTAATACCATACCATGTTTTGTGAGTAAAACATATAGCAGGCAGATTATCATGCAAGTAAAACAAGGCCCTACATCCAAGCTATACCTATAGGCGAACTGAACTACCAGGCATCGTTTCTATAAGACAGAGGACTAAACGCATCCAAATTGGTACCCCATTTGACTCGTTAAGATACAGTATTGCCAACCCAAGCTAAATTTGGTGTGAACAAATGAGCCTGCGACTTCCTACGGTTACTGAAATACAGAAAAATTGATGGCTGCATTTAACGGACTTTTGATTTGACGGCGGAGCAGTACGACAGTAACCAAGAAAACGCCGGCTCTTGGAAACACGACGCAGTCCGCACTTGGTGCGCCTCAGCCCTCAGCAAAGGTTTGCAGAGAAGAAAGGTGTCCAAGACTCCAAGTGTCCAACAGAATTGACTATTGAGAGGTAGCAGAGGGGATGTGCGGGAAAAGGGGGCGTAGCGTACCAAGGGAGGTGGAGGGAAGGGGAGAGGGACGCCATGGACGGGCGCTCGCAGTCGCAGGAGGAGCTACCAGCCGCCGCGCGGTTTTCTTATCCTGACGCTCCGGAGCTTGCCCACACCGGTTCTGTTATCCGCTTGCGAAGGGGAGGTCAGGTGAGGCCCAGCCCGTCTGGGCAATGGGCTCAGGGCCTCGGTCCAGACCCCCCGCAGAGTATACTGTTCGGGCCTTTGTGGGTATATCATGGTTGCATGAAAAAGGAGGCATATATATGGCTTTCGAAAATTTCTCAAAGTTCAAAAGAAACTAAAATATGTAGATGACTAGATGTTGGCCTCGTGGCTACTTCAACGGAACTTATGAACTTCGGCCAAATTCAATTTATAATATTTACTATTTTCTTATTTTATTTGTATATCTGGTGTGCAATGATAGTTATTTCGACCATAGGACATCACAAATTGATTGAATTCTTGATAAACTGAGATAAAAAAAAAGAGTGTAAAAGGAATAGGGCCCTATTTGTTTCGCTAAAATTTGACTTGTGCTGATGCTTATACTGATTTATCATGAGAGAAAAATATTGTTCGTTCGCTGAAAAGTACAGTTGAAGTAGTGCAGCAGAGCCAAAATCAATAGCATTATTGGAGTACAAACAAGCATTGGACGAACATTTATAGAGATGAAGTAAAGACCGATCAACCATAGATAGTGATGTACTGATGTCATACAAATTTAATTGAAGCAAACAAGAGAAAGCCAATTCGTTTCTTTTCCGAAAATTATTAAAGCGAGCTTATTTAATGGACCTATAATATGCAAGGTTTTTTAGGGTTTTACCTGTGTGCTATTATAAAAGATTGCAATTACCCATAAACCATTAAAAGTTTGAGCAGTCACAGGTGTCATTGGTCGAAACTTTTCTGCCCTCTACGTCATTCCGTTCACTTTTGTCCCTAACGGTGTCAATCTGCGCTGAAAAGTTTAGAATGCCCTTATGTTTGAATGCCATGCTAAATTTCCTTGTTCCTCTAGTGCCACTGAAGGTTCTCCACACACACAGGCCAGCAGCGCATGCACGAGCTGGTTCCAGACTACGTGTCCACACCACCACCATCGGACATGTACAGGGACACTTAACCCCATATGCACCAGCGCGAAGGGGTTGGCGGCGGCCGTGTAGCCAAGGACCGACGCGGCGAGCACGGGCGTGATCCGAGGTCGTTGACCCACTCCAAGCTTTGCAAGTCTGCATCGTGCCGCACCACGCGACAAACGATGTCGCGCCTCCCTAGCGCAGCTGGCCCGGCAGCATGGGCGGTATGCCGGTATCCGCCAGAAGATGGAGATGGGCATGGTGTCGTCCTCGGCATACAGGCCATGCCGCGTGATGTCACACAGCTGAACGATGTCCAGCATGCCCACCGCAACCATGGAGAAGATGGAAACGACAAGGCCGATGCCCATCCGTGCAGCTGCGTGAACACATGGGGCCGCCCGATATAGGAGGGCACGATGGCGCGGTCCTAGACGGGGATCCAGACGATGACACTAATGGAGTAGTGATGGTGTCCACCATGGAGAGTCGCTGGTAGCTCTTGAGCTCCTCCAACAGCGTGACCAAGCACAGGCGCCATGCGCTCGCCGCCGCCGATGTCGCTGGCGAGGAGGGCAGTCAGTTGCACGCGACACGATGATGCCATGTGGGACTCCACGTAGGAACGTGCGGGAACAAATCTGCGCGCACAGGGCGGTCGCGGCGAGCTCCACGAGAGCACGCGTGGACGGCAATCAGCTCGAGCGGCGACACAAATGGTCTACGGGCTGCCGGCGCTGGGCGGGCGCACGGCGAGCTCCGTGGCGCTTGGTGGCCACGTGCGAGCTGGGCGGGAGGCGGGTGCATGGCTAGCTCCGCGACGCTTGGCGGCCACGTGCGAGCTGGGCGGGGCTGGGCGGCCATGGCGAAGCGCGGCGGCGCTACACGGCCGCGGCGAGCTCCATGGGCGGTGCATGAGCTTCCTTGAAGGGTGGGCGCACGGGATCTAGGGGAGAAGAGCACCCCGCGGCGGCGCCAGGCGCCGAAGCCATGTCGAGCAGCACCCGCGCCTGCTCAATCAACGTGCTCAGCCCGACGAACTCCCGCTTGGCATGCTCCGTGAGCATCGCGTCCTCCTGGTCTAGAGCGTCCAGCAGCTCGCGCAGTTGCCACTCAGCCCGAGCATGTACGATGTGACGGCGCCGCGGGGGCGGGCGCCGAGCGTGAGGAGCGACGCGGTGTGCGTGGTGCCGTCGACGCCCACGCCCTTGGTCGGAAGGCGGCGGTGGGCGTTGCGCCAGGGTCCACGCGGAGGTCGCGGCCACGGAGGGCCCGGCAGTGTAGGTTGCGGCAGGCGCTGAGGGTCGTCTCGTCATCGAGGTACTCCACGGATGCGAAACCCTGGGGTCTGCTGCCGCCGTCCTTGAGAGCACCTGCACCTTGCCACCTCCGTCACCGCGGCAAGCTGCAGCAGCGTGCAGTAATCCCCTTCCCTTACCTTCACTTGCACCGTCCTCGCCATGGATGCGCCGAGAGGGGTTGCGGAGGCCGGCGAGGTCGGAACGGGGCCACGTCTGCCGTAACTGGTTCTTGGTGACCAGCAGGCATGATGCGAGGAGGCGGCCCGACCAACGTGGGCGAGCTCCGGTCCAGCCATGCGCGAGCTCTGGACCATCCACTGCGGGCAGCGTGGGCGAGCTCGCCCCCGGGGCAGCGGGAGGCGGCGGACGGCGTTGACGTGCAGAGGATAGGATTGGGAGAGAGGAGGACATTTTGGACTTCTTGACTAGCCGGGCTCACGTGACATAATTGCTTAACGGAGAAAACTCAACGGAAGGTGGACGGAATGGCGCAGAGAGCAATTAAGTTTAAACCGATGGCACTTGTGACCGCTCAAACTTTATAATGACATGTAGGTAATTATAATTTTTTATAATAGCACATAGGTAAAAGCCTCAAGGTTTTTAGGAGCTGACAACAATATCATTAGCAGAAAGCTTCATCGCCGTCAGTTCGGCCCTATTCACTGGGAGGAATTTAGGTCTAGTTTAGTTCCAGAAAATTTTACCAAATTTTTCAGATTCTTCGTCACATCGAATCTTTGAACGCATGCATGAAGCATTAAATATAAATAAAAAATAAAACTAATTACACAGTTTAGACGAAATTCACGAGACGAATCTTTTAAGCCTAATTAGACTATGATTTGACACTAATTGCCAAATAACAATGAAAAGTGCTACAGTGCATTTTGTAAAAAAATTTCGTCATCTAAACAGACTCTTAGAAGAATCTGGACGAATGTGTGAGAGAGTAAACAACGGGGCCGTCACCAACAAGGCAACAACCAACTCACAAACCACCAGGACTGAAACCCAAGTACCAACAGCCTGTTCGCTTGCTCGTAAACGATCGTAAATTTCCAATTAGGAACAGTATTTTTCTCTCACACCAAACCAGCCAGCGATAAATAATCCACGATACGATACGGCCTCCCAAACATGCTGCAAACCCGCCTTCCTCTCATTCCCCAATCGCCACACCTCGTCTCCCCCTTCCTCTCGCCGGAGCTCCGCACCCTAAACAACAACCTTCACGGGCCGGAGGAGGCGGCCGGGGAGATGGACGACGTCAGCGGCGGTGCACCGGGTGCGTGCCCCAAGAACAAGAAGCCCCGGCACCTGTCCCGATCGCTGACCTACCACCACCACCACCACCACCCGTACCAGGGGCGCCACCTGCCGCCTCCTCCGCCGTCGCCGTCGCCGGCGCCCACCCCCGCCGCAGCGCCCGCAGTCGGTGGTCCTCACACGACTTCGCTCCGCGGCGTGCGCCGCACGTTCGCGGACTGCTGCGCGGTGCGCGCCGCGCTGCGGGGCTCCGCGTCGCCGTGGACGAGCGCGACGTCTCCATGGACGCCGCGCTCCGGCGGGAGCTCCAGGGGTCCTCGCCGCCCGGGGCCGCGGGTTCTCGCTCCCGCAGCTCCTGGTCGGGGGCGTGCTCGTCGGCGGCGCCGACGAGGTCCGCCGGCTGCACGAGTCCGGCGAGCTCCGCCGCATCCTCGAGGGCGCCCCCGGGCAGGACCCGGCCTTCGTCTGCGGTGCCTGCGGCGGGTTCCGGTTCGCGCCCTGCCCCGCCTGCGACGGCTCGCGCAAGGTGTTCGTGGAGGAAGAGGAGCGAGCCCGCCGCTGCATAGAGTGCAACGAGAACGGCTTGGTACGCTGCCCCAATTGCTGTTCTTGATAGCTTGTTTGGCATATACACTTTTCATGTTAAATTGTTAATAGTAGTAGTATATACAAGAACCTAAGGATTGCTTGATTAGAGGCAGTGGAGAGAGGGAAGGAGTCTTCCATGTGTTCTTGGGCTGCTGTATAGTGTGCACACAGTTGGAGACTGGGGTATTGGGTATGCCATCAGTGTTTCGAAAGGATAGCGAATGGGTTCTTGGCCCTGAAGTTGTCACATCTGGAGTACTATCGATAGTGCCTGGCAGTTAAGGTGCTATCTCATAGTACTTCATATATGCAAATGTGTATTGATAAACCTTCTTCATGTCATGGAAGAAGGCCCAAAGCCAAAGGGTTAGAGATTTAGAGGTTGTACTACATAGAGGCAAGAAAAGATGGAGCCTTCCTTGATTCTTTGGCCTGTTGTATGTTGTAAATCTTGTGATCGGGTACAAGTTTGAGATTGGATATGCTCTTAGCATTTTGGGAAGGGCAATATGGCTTCAGGCACTCACAATATGGCTTCTCGTGTATATTTGTGTTTGCATAAAAAAATGTATATTGTACATTCATAACCAGAGTGGGTTTGATCAATATAAGCAATGGAGACTGTGTGCTAGGCATGGTTTGTTTCATATCTCCCCCTATTTTGCCTTTTTTTAAAGATGTTTGCTGGGCTCCTAGGTAGTATCTATTAGACGGTAAGCATTTGTTGTGCTCTGAAACATGTGTGTGCCTTTTTTCTTGTAAACAATGTGCATATGATTTTGCACTTCTCTTACTCATAGCTTAGTTGGAACACATTATCTTCTTCACATGATAAATGAATGATGATCTTGTAGTTCAGTATCTTATGTATTCGAGAACAGATGGAGCTTATTAGCTCATATATAACCGCAGAATCTTCAAATACTACGCTTTTGTCTTGGATGGCCCTAGTGCTGTGATTCGTTTTTTTTAAGGACAAGTCAATTCCTTGCAATAATCATGTCCCAAGACTTGTCAAGTTTACTTGTACCATCCTCTTGTCAAAGTTTACTTGTAGCATCCTACATTTACAGATCAGATGATTCTACATCCTCCTACAGGCTAGTTTTATGAAGATATGCGATCCTCATCAAAGATGGACTCATCAACTAAGTCCAACTGCAGTCCCTACTCTTTTAGCAACACGGGTATACTAATAGAAGCGGTTGGAATCCATGCCCATTGTCGTACTTACTGTAGTACCACCTTTGTAAGATGTATAATTCCCACCGATAATCAGATCAAAACCGCCGAACTCTTTAAAAGTCTTCAATTACATGTGTTTTGAGCTTCCAGATTCCCGCATGCTGCCTTAGCACTCCAGTTTGTTCAGTTTTCAACCACCACCTTCTTAGAATTTTCCTATTCACCTCAGATTCCTCAACAGATATTACACATTTCAATTTCAAAGGAATGCCTACCCGATGAAGTGTTACTTGTGCACCTCCAATAGCACTATAGATGGATAGCACTCTTATTCTATCTGGACACATGCCTTTCAGGACCGATAAAAATATGACAATGTATCAGTCTGAAATACATATTTCATGGTAGCAAATCTATCAAGTTGGTTTAATTTGAACAGATTTATATTTCATGGTAGCGAATCTATCAGGTTGGTTTAATTCAAACAGATTTGTGTGGTTATGTCGGTAGCCTAGTATCCTTTCCACTTGACGAGGCTCCAAAGGGCCTAACTTGTCCCGGCCAACCCGAATAAGGTTTGAAACCCTGTATTGGTGTATAATCTGCATTTATCTTGCTTGTAAAAGCACTCCTCTTGACTCTTTAACCATGCTCCCCAATCTTTCACAGTCTGCTCAATCCCTGCAACCTCTGTAGTAACTACACTGATATGTTTTCTTGTATCGCATGAGGGCCACCACTGTCTGGTGAATGGAAGTGATTCTTCAATAGTCATTGGAGACTTTGGAACCACGACACGTCTTTTCTCCACTGGAAGATTGTGAATGTAACCTTCCTTTGGAGTTAGAGCGGAGAAGGACTGACTGTTCACAAACTCAGGCTCCACACTATATAAGAACTGTTTGAGTTGATGACATGTGTCTTTTGGGATCTCTACCACATTTCCATACAAGAAAAATGGGGTTTAGCAAGGTCACCTTGTATATTTGCACGGTGGCCTGGTGTCATTGCCTCAAGTTCTACCTTAACAGGCATATCACTTGTCCCTGCACAGTGCCCCATAGACCATGGTTTCCTAGGTTGACTACCGGAGGCCCCTGTGTCATCTATAAATATATGCTTAGCCCTTTTAACCCGTGTATTGTTGCTGTCATCGGCATAATAGCTTACAGAGCAGAGTATGAGGGCTGGTATGAAGAATAATCAGTTTCTGCCTCGCCTAGAAAGTCAGATTCATTTTTTACTTCTTTCTGCTCAATGCTATTGGCTATTCGCCTTGCCAAAACTGAGTCAGCCAGCTCCTGAACAGTTGCTCTCTGGTCAAAATTGTCAATAGCTGATGATACCTGTTCCTCGGTAAAGCCGATCTGAAGCAAGCTAAGTATTTTTTCCATCACAGCATACAGTAATTCAGTCCTCCAGAGGATACTCCTGATTTGAGCACTGACAATGAAGTCCACGAGCTGTTCTAATGGTGCTTCAACACCTAGTTACTAGTTAGGCTAATTTTAGCCTAAATTAATTGTGCTTGACTAGCTAGTTGGTTAACAACTAGTTAAAAATTTAGTTAAAAAATTGGCTCTCCTATTTAAGTGCACTAAAGCTAATTTGAGCTAAAATTAGCTCATGGTATCAAAATATGTCCATAGAGAGGCAGTAAACACGTCCAATGCTTGTTCGAAGCTGGAAAGCGAAGCCCTATTTAATCTGCTAAGAAAAATGAGAATGGCATCTAAATACTTAGATCCTGTCTGGATCTTATTCTACCTCATTCTCATAATAAAATTAAAGGGGTGTTAGAATCGTATTCTCATCGGAATATTGCAATCTCCAAATAGATCTCATTCTAGAATCACACGTACCTCTCTCCATTTCATGCTCCGTCGCCCGCGCCCCTCTGTCTCTCCGCCACACCTCTGCCCACGTATCATTTGTCTGGCTAGTCAACGGTGGCGTACTGGCGTGGACCACAAACTCCGAGCGAATGCGGATCCGCGGCGGCGACAAAGGAAAGCAGCGAGAGGGAGGCCACATCAACCAGAGCACCACGATGATGAGTGCTGCGACACCGCCGTCAAACTCCACAAGGATTCTTTGTAGCATTTTCACCATAATAAACTCTCATGCATAAACCAGTTCAATCTTATGAGTTGCCATTAGATTCTCCTATACCACAGAATGGCGACTCCTACACAGTTCAAATAAAATAGAGCAAATCTCTACGAACTCTGCATCGGTAGCAACTACCAACCTCTACATGATCTACATCCACCAGCACCTACCTTGCAAGAGCCAAGAGGCAATAGCAAGCTAGAAGAAGCTGAAAAAGGAATGAATCACAGAGTTCTCGATTCCTACGCATGCCAAAAAGCTCTTTGCAGTGTGATTCATGAGTTCACGGCAGCAGCGGAGCGGAAGAGATGTATTAGCTGACCACCATCTTATTGTTCCTTCCAGATTCTCCCAGTGACACGCAGCTTGAGCTCCTTCCTGTCACCGCCCGAGAAGAACAGGGCCATGTTCCTCTGGATGATGAGCCCGTCGTAGCTATCCCGGACCTTCCGGTGACTGTCTCTGATGCTCCGGGGCACCCCCTGCCAGATCATCTTGCGCCCGGTGCCCCCTACCTCCAGGCTGTAGCTGTAGTTCTTTGCTTCTGTGTCATCTCCCATGAACCTCAGGAAGGTGATGTAGACACGTGACATGCCCAACTGAAAGGCTTCAAAGTGTAAGCAGAAGTACTGGCCAAAGCAGCTGAAAACCTGCACGAGATAATTATAGCAGATCATGAAGTGATTTTGTAATAGCAGTGTTTCTTTATTGCACTTAAAACAGTGAGAAAAGGTAGCAAATCTAGAAGCAATCTGAAATGTAATGCACTCGCGCCTTATAACAGCATGACTTTTTCATTGAAAAGGGATGAAGATGGATACATATATGCAGTATGTTTGTATAAGAAAAAAAAAATTCAGTTGTATAAGCGGAAGGGCGGACCTGGTGCAAGCGGTAGAGTCTTACCGCCTGTGACCGGAAGGTCCTGGGTGGTCTCCTCGCATTACACAGGCAAGGGTAAGGCTTGCCACTGACACCCCTCCCTAGACCCCGCACAGAGCGGGAGCTCTCTGCACTGAGTACGCCCTCAGTTGAATAAGCGAGAATCCCCCTGAGATGAATTGGATAGCGAGGGTGTATGTCACCCAGTCAACCAGGGTTCTATTCTCACCTTCTACCTATTAAAAATGAGGGTGGACATCTCTCCCTCTAGTCGTGTTTTAAGTGTGTATCATGATCAGCACCTAATTCGGTCCCATGGTCAGCATCTTCATTGTATATGTGTGGCAAAAAGGTGGAAGTCTATAAACACACATTATGTCAATATTTGACAAATATGCAAAAGTTTCTGAGACATACAAAAATGAACTTCTATCTTTGCAGAAGCAAACTGTAAAAAACAACTAAAATGTTAGGGTGGACGTATCTCCCTCTAATTGAGTTTTTAAGTGTGTATTATGATCAGCACCTATATTTTTTTTATTTTTGGACCAACAAGAGTGTACCATGGTCAGCATCTTCATTGTATATATGCTACAAATAGATGGAAGTCGATAAACACACACTACATCAATATTTGACAAGTATACAAAAGTTTCTAAGACATGGACTTCTATCATTGCAGAAACAAACCACAGTAAAAAAAAACCACAAATTTTTAAGCAACGTATTGATGATAGTGTGAAGTACCGTAAGCATCCAGGTAGCATTCTCAACTTCATGAGGGTTTGGCTTTACATAGCGATGGTTGAAGGTACAGCCATTGTGCATGTCAACTTTGTGGTCATCTTTCAAGTGATTTACCAAATATGGAATGTCACCGGCAACTGTGCATTCAGATCCAGCATATGGACAACTATAAGGCCTATATTGGCACTGTGACTCATGCTTCAGCTTGCTGTAGTAAGGATAAATGCCTGAGCACCCAAAGCTCTGGTACTTGCATGGAACTTCAAGAGATGCAGCCACCTTCTCGAGAGCAAGGCACCTTATGTTACCAAGTTCATGCCTACAGGTTGGGCAACGATTATGAACCCTTGGTTTGCACCCGGAACACAAGGTATGACCATTAGAGCACTGCATAGACAAAAGATGGCATTACTATCATATGAAATAAGATTTTCATAGTTGAATATAAAAGATATAAAAGCAGAACATGTTACTATTTTGCACCATGCTAACCAAAAAGAAAAAAAAAAGACTAGAAGTTAGGGTTTCTAAACACTGTAGATTAAAGTTCAGGTTTCTAAATGCTATAGATTAAAGGTCAGACTAAAATTGTGATAGCAGTTCATGATACTGAAAGGAACTCTTAAACCAGTAACTCATAATTTTCATCCAAGTGACTACATTTGAACAGGTTAATTTATTAATTAATACGAGAATAGATATAAACATGTGATGGATAAGTATGAATGTGCACCTGATGAATAGGAGGATACATGGCACTCAAGCAGACTGGACATTCCAGAAGTTCACGCACACTGCTAGACACCACCACATTCGGTTTGGGTGGGTGCTGAGTATGGTCACCAGGGAGTTCAGCAACATCCAGTACCTCAGTCTTTGGGGGATCAATAACCTCCGAACAGGAATCATCAATATAAGCAGTTGTGGCCATCATCGGGGTCTTGGAATTATATGGTCCTGCTATGAAAAAAGGACGAATATTTTCATTTCTACTATGTGATTTAAAGAGGACGGGAGTGATATACTGTACTCAGTAAAGGGCTAAAGGCAGTAGTATGTGCATCCTACTACTGAATACTGATAGTGTTAACACGAATCATTTCCTTACCATCTCTCGAGTATAAGCACAATTTTACAGTTCCAGCACAGTCTAGCGATATGATTGGATACTGTTACAAGATTTTGAAATAGATGGAGCACATGGTCACTAGGGCCTCAGGTGATGCTTTCAAGTGTTTGACCAGACAGGTCATCCTACTTACGCAACAAATATCTCTCAAGTCTCAATGCCTTGTTCAAAGTTTTCAGGTAGTTATCTCATGGACTCGTTCAAAGTTTTCAGGCAGGCTTATATCAAGCTTTCATTAGCATGTCTTTCACAAGGAGAAAAATCTGTACACATTGATAGCGAGGATGTGTTGTCTGCGCTGAACTTTTCATTCGTTTCTGCAATTGTAGTTTCCGTGCCTTTAGCGAATTAAACAAAAATGCCAATAACCCTACATGGCTTAAACAAGCAAAGCTAACGTGATTTACCCAAAGAAAGAAGCGCATCAACGCGTCACGAAATCGCATCAGATCGAGAAACTAACCCAAAAAACCCTGCTGAAACCCTGGCAACCGACCAGAAAGCACGCACTTAAACCCCCTGCGCTAGCGCTACCATCGGGTCGCCCGCATTTGAATCGATCGAGCAGAATCGCTTCGGCAACTCCTAGAACCTCTCCCCATCCTCCCTCCCGAAAAACCCAATCTTTCCCTCGGAAAAGGAAAAGAAACCGTGAAAAACTCCCCACGGAAAATGAAGCGGCAAAGACTTGGAGCAGGGCTTTACCTCGGCGGAGCGGATCAGGGGGTCGAAATGGGCAGGCTCCGCCGCCCTGATCTTGCCCGGTGCGGGCTGCGGCGCCGACGGCTGGCGTCTGGCGAGCAGGCGGCGAGGTGAGGAGGAGCCGAGGAGGCCGAGCCGCCGAGGCGAGAGATTTAGTGAATGAATGCCTCTCCCTGCCCTGGGAATGACTGACCCCGGCTGTCCCCCTCTGCGGCCTGGTGGTGTTTTTGTTTTCTTGCTCTGGTTGGGCCCTCATTTTTTTAGAATTTGTCGCTATTTAAAAAGAAGATTCTCCGTTATATTAAATTTGCGGTACATATATGGAGTACTAAATATTGACAAAATCAAAAACTAATTGCACAATTTGGTTGTACTTTGCGAGACGAACGTTTTGAGCCTAATTAGTCAACGATTGAACAATTATTACCAAATACAAACAAAACGCTATAGTGTCGCTATAGCATCACTGAATTCCGGCGGCGCTAAATCGGTGGCCAACTAGGCCCCGTTTAGATGCGAAAATTTTTAGCTTTTAGCTACTGTAGCACTTCGTTTGTATTTAATAAAAATTGTCCAATTATGAACTATTTATGTTTAAAAGATTTGTCTCATCAATTACGGACAAATTATACAATTAGTTATTCTTTTTACTTATATTTAATTTAATATCCTATACATATGCTGTAAGATTTGATGTGACAAAAAGTCTTAAAAAATTTTAGATTTTAGGTATAGCCTAAACATGGCCTTGTTTTGTCTCGTGAAAGTCGTGAAGCTTTTTCGTTCCCTGCGCCGTTTGTTTGGATCCTCCGGGCCTCGGGACTCGCCCTTCCATCATTCACTCACATTTAAATATTTGTAGGTATACGGAGTAGGGAGTACACGTTGGAGTCTAAGGGGTGCCGGGTTCTTCGGTCGCTCCTAAAGTTTATGTTACATTGAATATTTAGATACTAATAAAGAGTATTAAATATAGATTAATTATAAAATCAATTACATAGATAAAGATTAATTTACGAGATGATTTTTTAAACCTAATTAATCTATCATTAGCATATATTTACTGTAGCACCATATTGTTCAATTAGTCTCGCAAATTAGTCGTAAGTTGTGTAATTAGTTTCGTAATTAGTCTATATTTAATACTTCATATATGTATCTAAACATTCAATGTGATAAGAATTTTAGAAGCGCCGGTAGAAACAAACACCCCCTAATATTTGTATAGGTATACGGAGTACACGTAGGAGTATAAAACAAATGCCATAAACAAAAGAAGGAAAGTAATTCTTTCCTAAATTATAATATCGTTGAACACTTTTTTTTCTTATTAAATCTATCTACTTACACTAAAACACTCTAAAGTAATCATCTACATAGTGATAAAAAGACATATATTCTCCGGTCACGAAGACTTAAAAAAACTGTAACAAATACATACACTACCCGGACGCGCACCACACACCAACCAGGTTCCCTCACGCCTCGCGTCCGGCCAGGACTCTTCTTTATTACCCAAACCATAATTACTTTTAATTACCCAACGCATAGGATCGAGGACTCTTCACCGTCTGTCCGGTTTAGAAAAGCAACGGAAGGAGTATCATCATGCATGGCAGGCCAGAGTCAATAAACGTGCATCCATGGCTAACGTGATTTTCAAATTAAGCAATTATAATGATATACAATATAATTTATGGAAAAGAAAAAATAAAAGTAAAATTAAAAAATGACAAACTCCTTACGTAACAAAATAGATCAACTTCCTGAAAAATAAAAAAAAATGGCTTAAGTAATGATAATCAGGGCAAGTATTTTCCTTCTGAATTTTGTATGTCCATAGCAGATTGTATTTCCCTTCTCATCACAGACAAATAGTGTGTCAGACTAAAAGTTCACCTTAGGATCCCGTAGTCGTAGGTAGAAAATAATTTCCTCAAGTTCACTTTAGATAGTTTTGATGAACAAAGTTGTTACACTATGAACTAGATTGTATTGATTTTACATGATCACGTCAAAACTTGAATTACGTTCTAATTGAACATGAATCATAATTCATAAGGACAGATCTAGCTACAAATGTAATGTTGTGAATATCTCACTCAAAGTATTTTTTGGTAATATTATAACACACAATCAAATTTAAACTATCGTGGTAATTTTTAGTCCCGTGGGCATGATTCTAGTAAAATAAAAAAATATAGTGAGATTTTCGTAGGTATACTTCATCCATCTCTTACTTATTTTAAACAACACCATTCTAGTTTAACATTGGTCCTAAGATATAAGGATTTTAGTTGTTTTAAGCAAAATCATTCTAAATTTAACTAAGTTTATAAAAACCAATATTTAGAATATTAAATAAATATCATTAGAAATATACTTTTTATAATTTACCTTTTTATATGGTAACCATTGATAATGTTTTCTACAAATTTGGTTATTAAATTTATATTTAGAACAGTTAAAAGTTTACTATATTTCACGGAGGATGTAGCTCATGTGCACAAGAAAAAGAACAATACAATAATGTCGAATCAATCAATCAATTTGACCCCTTTGAAGAGTAGTAGCCGGGGCCTTGTTTAGATTACAAATTTTTACAATCTGGATACTGTAGCACGTTTCGTTTGTATTTGACAAACTTTGTCTGATCATGGACTAAATAGGCTTAAAAGATTCGTCTCGTGATTTACAACCAAACTGTGTAATTAGTTTTTTTTACTTACATTTAATGCTCTATACATATGTTCAAAAATTAATGTGATGAAGAGAGAGTGAAAAAACTTGGAATTTTGAGAATCTAAACAAGGCCCGGGAGCAGGGCTTTGACTAGTTTTGTATCGTGATCCGCGTTATTTCTTAGCTCCTCTTGTCCTTCTCGTCAATCAACGGGCTAAAACGCGTCGCCGATGCCAAGACGATTGCCCCCGATTACGTGAGGCAGGACTCTTTTTCTTGCGCACTCAAGTAATCATATCACAAAAAAAGGTATGAAAACGATGCTAAGAAACTGCTTGATCAGGTAGGACTAATTACTGAATCTAAAAAAAAAGTAGGACTAATTACTAGTTAAAGATTAAAAATTAGTTCAAATTAGCTGATATTGGTTAGATAGATAGCTAACAAGTTAAAAGTTTAGTAAAAAATAGTCTACATATTAGTCTTCTGCTTGGATGGGTTAAGACTAAGAATTAGCTAGCGATAATTAGAATTTGTTTGGCATGGGAGCTCTAGCTCCACCATTGTTGTTGAGTACTGTAGCGATATTGTAGCATGGAACCGGCGGAGCTAGGAATCATGACTTCATCGGCTCCTCTTTATAGTTCATTTTTTGTTTCTTTGTTTCAGAAATCAAAACGGTTCCCTTGCTATAGTGATAAAAAAATAGCACTATAGTATTTGGGAGGAGCCGGAGCCCAATAAGCCATACCAAACAAAGTCAGGTCCCGTTCGGCTTGCTGAAATTGGCTGAAAACTACTATTCTTGTTGAATTGTTGTGAGAGAAAAACACTATTCCTGCTGAAAAAACAAGTCGAACAAACCGGTTTTTGGGTAAGCCGAACGTGACCTTAGCCTTATGCATCCAAAGATGCCATTAATAAGATTTGTTTAGGACAATTTGTTCTCAAAACTTTGTCTTTTAGAGAAACTTATGTACGTATGGACGTTTTTTTCCTCTCTGCAAAGTGGACTATAAGCCAGTGAAGTTAGAAAAAAATATAGTTCTTGACTTCACTCAGAACACTGTAGTAGAATGCCAGAACTGATAGAAATCCTGCCAAATAGAGACTAAGATTTAAAACATATTCTTTTAAAAAAAATAAAAGTTGGCAACTAAACAACACCCATTAAAGTTTTCAAATGTTGTTAGGGACCAGAACAACCAAGAGGGTGAATGGGAGCTCCATATTTTTTTCTCGCCGAGTTGATGAGTATGTTAATTGTATCCTAAAATCTAACCGAGCCTCTCTTATAGCTCTCGCCAAGATCACATAGTAACATTGGACCTACTGACTTTAGTAACGAGACTAAAAATGTGTGAAGCCAACCAAGCAAAAAGAATGACACAAATTACAAGCTTCAATGAAAACTGAGTCACCTAGATTGCAAAAATCAGGTTACCCAGAAATTTCAGGTCACCCTGATTCTCAGAACTGGGTCACCTGTTTTTGCAAGTTTCAGCTTGAAACTTTTGTGGAAAAGGTCAAACCCAAGCAATAACTAAAAATCCGTGAAATTTGAAAAAGGGCTTGCCTAGCCAACAGGAAGGTGTTCTTGAGAATTTTTGTCAAAAATGATTTGGCCTTCTTCATAAATTTTGAATTTCTCTTAAGTTGGGTTTTGACAATAAATTTCAAATAGATGGTTTTAAATTGCTCCAAGAAAATCAATGAAACCAAAGCCTAAATATATTCTAAAAAAGTCATTAATTGAGCACAATAGTCAATAGGAACCACCAATCTCAAAGAAACGACCAAGATAGGCACTTGGGACGAAGAAAAAGGGATTTTGGGAAGCAATTATAGAGAATTAGGTCTAGCCCATCATGTACCTTGTTCATAGCCCCCAAAATTACACCGAGAATGCTAAAAAACTCAGATCTAGTACAACTCCAGGAAACGCTAAGAGAGGTTGAGAAAAATTAGAAGAAAAAAACAATTTCAAAGGGAGAAGGCAAGAGAGATGAATTCTACACGGATTTTTTTTATAGATTAAGGAACCCTGAATTCACCTATACACCATATTAGCATACCTCCCAAAATCCTCCCATGTGAAGGAAAAGAAAAGATGTGCTTATCTCTAGCCTATCTCTTGCTGAGCATCTAATGCCTTGGCTAACCCTAGCAAATGAAAGAGGTGGAAGGAACAATTATCTTGGAACAACCATTTATCTTATTTATAGGATTTATACACATTTCAAAAATGCTCATACAGTTAGACATGTTAACGCATCTAGGCTACATTATGGATTTTTTGTGATTGATAAAGCACAAGTATGGCGACTAACATGTGTTTTGTAAAGGTTAGCGATGAAGTTAATCATGATTAGAATATCCACAAGTATTTTGTGCCTAACTTTTTGTGCTTTATTAAGCATGGTGCAAAGGATAATCGACAATACTAATAGAGGTATATGCATCGTAGGCCCTTGAACTTGTCTCGGGGTGCCACTTAGGTCCACAAACTCTCAAATCGTACTTCTGGCACCCTAATGTTATTTAAGTATGCCACTTAGGTCCATAACTCATCGG